TCATTTTGATATTAAAAATAATATAAGAAGAATTAGTAACATAAAATTAAAAATAATTCTAACTATTTAATTTTCTTTTATATTCATTTGGAAAATAAAAATTTATTAAAAAAATTAAATATAAATATGTTGTAGTTAGATTATCATATATATATAGATATTAAATTATAAGATTGTAAAATAAACACTTTTAATTGTATTAAAATACCAACTATATAAAAGAAATTTAATAACGATTAACCAATAAAGAATCACATAACAATATCTAAACCCAAAAAAAAATAAAAATAAAAACATCCAAACGACAGATACATTTCAATGTGTGAAATAATTAATCATCTGTAATATGATGTCAAAACATAAAAGAACTTATTGTTCAATAATTAAAAAAGCAACTCAAACAGTAAATTTAAACTTTAGAGGTTCTAAGAGTATCATTATTGTACAGCTTTTTATTTCTGTGAGTTGTGATTATATAAAATAATATAGAAAATAAAATATAATTTCATATGTAGAATTACTATAAAATTTCAACAACAAATCTATAATGTAGAATAATATAAATTGGTATTGGATTTAGAATAATGCACAGAAAAATAAGAAGGAACAAAAAAAAACAATTTAGCATTAAAAAAAATCGTAATAGCGTTGAAAAAATTAAGAAAAAAAAACATGAAACGCAAAATTGGTATTAGGTTTGTGAATTATCTCAATTTATCATAAATAATATATGGGAAAAAAATATTTGTCAAATGGAGTCTATATAAAATAGATAAAATTAGTATAATTTAAATTAAGTTTGGGTTTATGTAGAACTCTATTATATGTAATTAAAAAAATACATGCTGAGGTGACTGCCTTAGAAAAAATAAAATAAACCATTATAATTTGTCACTTAAACATGAAAAAAAAAAGTTACTATTTTTAATAACAAAAATGTTTCATGCCCCTTTTTCCCTACCCCCTTTGACCCCCTCTCTCTCTCATTGGTTACATTTTTTTTTTTTTTTTTCATGCTCCTCCAATCACCACCCGTCACGTATCTGTGAGGGTTGTGGGGTGGTGAATGGAAGGTCTCTATCATGGCTCTTTTAATAATATTCGTGTGTGTTTTTTGTGTGTGTGTGTGTGTGTGTGTGAGAGAGAGAGAGAGAGAGAGAGAGAGTGAGTGAGTGAGTTCACGTATCTGTGAGGGTTGTGGGGGTGGTGAATGGAAGGTCTCTATCATGGCTCTTTTAATAATATTCGTGTGTGTTTTTTGTGTGTGTGTGTGTGTGTGTGTGAGAGAGAGAGAGAGAGAGAGAGAGAGTGAGTGAGTGAGTGTGAGTGTGTGTGATGTGAGGGTTAACTTGTCTCTTCTGGTCACATATTTACCAAACATTATTTATGAAAGATCTACTTTCTGGTCACATATTTACCAAACATTATTTATGTAAGATCTACTTAAATTGTCTCTTCTGGTCACATATTTACCAAACATTATTTACGAAAGTTCTACTTAACTTGTCTCTCCTGGTCACATATTTAAAAAATTACGTATTATTTATCACACATAATTTTATGCAAAATATATTATATTTAAAAAAATTCTTTAACATGTGTGTATATTAACAAAATATATTTATGAAATACAATAATATTATGATGACTATATACCACTATTTATTTAATTTTTGATGTGTGGTTAATTCATTGGATTAAAACGCCGTATTGCTAGTGGACAGATTATAATTCATAAATATAAACTAATAGGGCTAATTTAATTAGCTAGAAATCTTGCATTTATATTTCAATAGAATGTTAGCTATTCGAATCTTCCCAAAATAATATCAACTATGAATCAAATCAGAAAATAATGACAATACCTATAATATACCAAACCAAATCAAGCCAAGCCTTAAGTCTCATCAAATAGAGTCGGCTACATGAATCCTTCTTCTCCACGCGGTCCTATCAAAAGTCATTTCAGTAGTCAAATTAAGTAAATTCATATCTCTATTTATAACGCTAGTCAACGTTAATCTAGGCCTACCCCGTCCCCTAACACTTCCATCTACCGTTACAGCATCGCATCTCTTCACTACTGCCGTTGTTGGTCTCCGTTGAATATGACCAAACCATCTCAAACGATTCTCTCTCAACTTATCTTCTATCGGTGCTACTCCTACTCATTCCCGAATACCCTCATTCCTAATCCTGTCTTGTCTAGTCTTACCACACATCCACCTTAGCATCCTCATCTCAGTCACACTCATCTTATCTACATGTTATTTCTTGGTTGCCCAGCACTCCGTCCCATACAACATAGCTGGTCTAATAGCCGTTCTATAAAACTTACCTTTTAGTCTAGTGGGTATTCGTTTATCGCACGATACCCCAGACGCACTTCTCCATTTACACCATCCCGCCTTAATCCTATGGACCACATCTGCATCAATCTCTCCCGCTGTTGTGATAATCGACCCTAAATAACGAAAATGTTCACTCTTAGGCAGTTCTTGGTTCTCAATCTTCACTTCTCCTCTGCTTTCATTGTTACTGTTACTAAATTTACACTCCATGTACTCTGTCTTAGTTCTGCTTATCCGGAATCCTTTAGATTCAAGAGCTTTTCTCCAAATCTCCAACTTTGTGTTAACTCCTTCTCTAGTCTCATCTACTAACACAATATCGTCTGCAAAAAGTATACACCATGGCACGTCATCCGGAATATTTATCGTCAACTCGTCCATAACTAAAGCAAAAAGATAAGGACTTAAGGTATACCTTGATGTAACCCTACAGTGATAGAAAATTCATTTGTCTCTCCAGCTGACGATTTAATAGTGGTCACCACCCCTTCATACATGTCTCCAATCACGTCAATGTAGCCTTTTGTCACCCATTTCTTCTCTAACACCCACCATATTATATCTCGGGGCACTCTGTCATATGTTTTCTCAAGGTCGATAAACACCATATGAATGTCTCTTTTATTTTCTTTATACTTTTCTATTACTCTCCTCAAAAGATAGATCGCTTCCATTGTTGACCTACCAGGCATAAACCCAAATTGAGTCACTGACACCTCTGTTATGTCTCGCAATCGGCGTTCCATCACCCTCTCCCACACTTTCATTATATGACACATTAGCTTGATTCCTCTATAGTTGTTACAATTCTGGACATCACCTTTATTCTTATAGATTGGCACTAAAATACTCTTCCTCCACTCATCTGGCATGTTCCTAGTCAACAAAATTTTGCTAAACAATCTAGTCAACCAAGCAACTCCCTTTTTACCCAAACACTTCCAAGCTTCAATAGGGATATCATCGGGTCCTAAAGTCTTATTTGATTTCATCTTCTTAAGTGCAATCTCCACTTCAAAGTTTCTAATCCTGCGATAGAACCTATAGTCTTGATTTATCGTATTACTGGCTATTTCTTCCCCTATTGTCGTACTTCCATGTTCCTCATTTAACAGTTTCTCAAAATAATTCTTCCATCTTTCCTTAATCTCATCATCCTTCACCAATACCTTAGAATCCTCACTCTTGATGCACTTTACTTGATTAAAATCTCTTATTTTCCTTTCCCGTATCTTAGCAAGTTTGTATACCATCTTCTCTCCCTCCTTATTATCTAGTCTAGTGTATAGGTCATCATAAACTTTCAACTTAGTCTCTCTCACTACTTTCTTGACCTCCTTATTAGTCAATCTATAGCTCTTAAGGTTTTCCTCAGTTCTATCCTTCTGCCACTTTTTAAAGCACTCTTTTTTTTGCCTTAACTACTGCTTGAACCTTTTCCCTCCACCACCAAGTTTCCTTAGAGCTGGGTCCCGTTCCTTTCGACTCTCCAAGCACTTCCATTGAGATTCTCCTCATACAATTGGCCATCGAATTCCACATAGTGTTAGCATTACCTTTTAAGTCCCAAGTACCTTCCTTATCCATTCGATTCTTAAATATTTCTAATTTATCTCCTTTTAGGTCCCACCATCTCATCCTACGACACCCACCATCCTTCCTAGCTTGGTATTGCCCTCTAAAACATAAATCTAGTACCAAAATTCTATGTTGAGATACCAGACTCTCTCCAAGAATCACCTTACAATCATTGCATTTTAGGCAGTCCACTTTTCTTACTAAGAAGTAATCTATTTGACTCTTAACTAATCCACTCTTAAAGGTTATCAAATGCTCCTCTCTCTTCTTATACATAGTATTGGTCACCACCAGGTCAGAAGCTAACGCAAAATCTAAGATTCTCTCTCCAGTCTCATTTCTGTCACCAAAATCGTATCCACCATGTACCCTTTCATGACCTAGTTTATCTATGCCCACATGGCCATTAAAATCTCCACCTATAACCAGGTTCTCTCATACGGGTATCTCTTGTAAGATCTCATCCATTTGCTCCCAAAAATCCCTCTTAGTCTGATCATTCATAAATTGTCTTACCAAAATTGTAATAAAACGAAGATAAAAAAGAAAAAAGAAAAAAAGATAAATTACAAATATATCTCATGAGATTTATTTAAAATACAGATTGTCTTCTATGATTTGAAAAATTATAATTACCACTTGTTAGAATTTTTTATTTAATAAAATTAACAAAAAAATAAAATTTCTAACTACTTTATTATACAATAATAAAATTATCTAAATTGTTAGTAATTGAAATGTATTTTTCACATCATTAAAAATTATTAATTAATTTAATAATTTATTAATAAAATTGATAATTTATTATGCGATTATAAATTTGAAGGAATATAATAAAATTTTCAAAACTGCATCTATGTTTTAAATAAATCTACCAAAAAAGTAAATGAATAAATAAGGCATATACACGATTATTGCCCTTTCACATAAATGCTGTAAAACGACGTCGTCCATTGTGATACCTTCCTTGTCTCCTTCCCAGCCACCAAAGAACAGCCAAAATATACAGATTACATACATCCATACATCTTTGTATGAGTATATATTATTATATTCACCATTTCACTTCCTCAATGAGTGATGAATAATCTCTCTTCTATGATAACAATTAACAGTAATTATCATTAGTATATAAAATAACAACTATAAAAGACTTTAATTTCAAAAACAGAGTTCTCTGTTTCGCCGGTCAACGATCCTCAAAGCCTCCATCACCAAATCTCACAGATCAATTCACAGAACCCAAATCAATTTCTGGGTTTGTCTCTTCACGTCTCAATCTCAAATGGGTCGGAAGCCAAGCGACTCCGAATCCACTCGCTGGGCCTCTCTGATCCTCCTCTTGATGGGTCTCGTCTCTTGTACAGTGGTTTACATGTTTGCGTCAATGGCTTTGAGACCCACTATAGTTTCTTCGAATTTAGAGTCTTTGGCGTTTGTTGGGGGTGATTTGGAGGGAGAGAGTGGGGAGTGTTGTAGAGGGATCGAGAATTTGGAGCTGTGGGGGGCTGCTGTGAAGTGGGGTTCTGAATTCAAGTTCAATTCTTCTGAGGAGTGTTGTAAGGCTTGTAAGGCCATGTGTACTGGGAATCATGGGCCTTGTTTGTGTGATTCTTGGGTGTTTTGTGGGAATCGGGAGGCTTGTGGGAAGAAATTTGGTGAGGTGAGTTACAATTTGATGCTTGCTTTCACAGATTTTTTTTAATGATTTGATTGAATTTGATCATTTGGTGTGTTCTTGTGGTTATTCTGTTTGAATTGGTTTTTTATTCTGAATTTTTTGTGATGGTGAATTGATACAATTTGGCAGTGCATTAGTCAGACTTCGATGAGAATTTATCTAGATTTAGTTGTATGAAAGATTTCACAGTTTGGGCTTTAGTATTAGTTGTGGGCAGCAATTTGGTTATGTGACTTAGAATTTGATGTTTGCTTTTACAGAGTTTTTAATGATTTGATGGAATTTGATCATTTGGTTTATCTTTTTGGTGGTTGTGTTTGTTTTTTGATTCTGTTAAAATTGTTTGTGATGGTCAATTGATACAATTTGGCAGTGCACTGGTCAGATTTTGATGCCATTCAACTAGATTTAGTTGTCTGAAAAGCTTTCACAGTGTGCGATTTAGTATTACTCTGAACATTGCGATTTAGTCAGGAGTAAAATATTTACAGACATTATACCGGGATTTTAAAGTCATCCAAATGCTGTTTAGTAAAGTTCCACCTTCATTTGATTAGAAATTGGCTTTTGGGGCACATTTTAAGAAGTTGTTTACGATTTCATAAAATGCAGTATTCAGAATTTTTTGTCTAATAAAACATTGATAATGTCATTTCTTTCATGTTCGTGATGTAGTGCTGGTTGAAGAAACAGAAGGATACCTTAGCCCCTGAAAGGCAACAAGCAGGAACCAAAGTCAGTTGGACTTCTGGCCTTATCTTTGGAAAAGGAGAGGTATACAAGTTTGAGGAGCTTTCTTGTCAGTTTCCATACCATTTTTCATTTTTTGTACATAAATGATAATATATTCCATTCTGCACTACATATGGATTGCATTTGGTTTTTGATGTAGTGCTCCCCTCATTCGGTACTAGTGTCTTTTTTTCAAAAGAATGAACAGAAAAAACTTTACATACCTTTGACAAGCATGGGAATTGATTGGACTGGTTGCACGGACATTTAATTTAAGAAGATATTCACCAGTAAAAAGAAGGAAATAAACTCGAGCAATTATTGGTTTCCCTATAGCAAAAGTAGAGATGTCAATAATTTGCGTAGAGGATTTCATTATAATGTGTTGAAATGATACAATCTAGATTGAAATTTTGGAGGTATATCTAATATATTTGGAAATACCACACATTCATTTTACCATGTATTTAACCTATGTTTTGCCAAGGGGAAGAGAGAGAGAGAAGGGAAAATCTTAATTTAGAAGATGCAGTATAACAAAATTTTATTGTCACTCTGACTTATTGATAAAGTTATCCTATATGAGTTGTTCTTTTATGAAAAAATCTGCATCTATGGATGTGTTCTACTGTTAACTTTTGTGAGTAGAATTTATAAACTTGTTTTTGTGGGTTTATTTGAATTTCTCATGTTACCAAGTATTTAAGGCCATGGTAATGTGTTTATGATAGCTAAAACGACTCAGGATCTTTGCCACGTGACTTGTGTTGTCTAAAAAGTAGACTTCCTTGGGGTATCTTACCTTCTCCCTTTTTAGATATATCTACCTTTTCCATCTGGGCATATAACGGTTAGGTCCTATGTTACATGGACTTTGTTATGGGTGTCTGATGTGAATATTTGTCTAAATATCAGATTCATCTAATTTTCATACCCAAGGGGCACTAGGATATGGCTAAATTTCATATTAATAAATCTTTCACTTGCTTAGGGTAAAATAGTATTTACAAGCTCACTTGGAGTTTTGAAAACAGTAGTTTAAATAGTATTTATGCAATGCGTGCCCGACAAGATATCTTAGACACATCCCATACTCTAACCAAGTGTCAAGTGTCCGACACAAGGACTTCATAAATTTAGAAGAGTTCATGTAACATAAGTTAGATTTGTAGCATTCCCTTTGGGCATGACGGGGTTTACATCTTTAGCATCTACTTCAGATCATATATAAAATAGTTTTTTTCTCAAAGGGTGGAGGATTTTGATCTAGTATAGGTAATCTAACATGAAATTGACTTGTTATTTTACAAAATGCACCCCCAAGACATTTTCATTTTCAAACTCTGTTTCATTTATTGGATCAGTGTTCTTATGCTTTGTACTTTGGCCAATTTGCATTGTTGTTTTTGTTTCTTTTACATGTTGAACTTTTTATGCAGTTAACAACTTCCTTTAATACTGTTGTTTTCTTATAGGGCATTGTTGGGTTGGAAACGGAATATGGTACGCTTCATATAAAGGTAAATGCTCATATCCTTAGTAAAATGTATAAGCTTTCTGAAATGGGGAGTTGATAACAGGCAGTCCTCATATGCTTTAGTAACTGGGCGATGGCATAGTTTTTCAGTGTATTTGAGACCAACTCCAAAGGAAAGAATTTTAATCGATGCACAGTTATCTCCAGAATGTACATGTATAAACATGCATACATGCACCTTGTCATCATTATTGACATACTTATAGCATCCTAAGATTGCCATTAGCACTGATTTCTTAATTATGTTTTCATTTGCACCATTAAAGGCTACATGGTAAACAATTACTCTAGAAAGCCCCTATTAAATTAGTGATGGTACTATTGTCAGCTTGTTATTTTATCACTCTTATAAATATGCATTAAGGTGGAGGTGTACGTTACACAACCCTAATTTCTGTTTACTTCTCTGTCTTCTCTGTTCTCCTTCTTCTCTCCAACTTCAACCCTAATCTCATATATTCTGTACTTTAACTCTTGCTATTAACTCTGAATACCCAATCCTTTGACAACCCTCAAAAATTGTTGGAGATTAGATGTTATATTTTAGTCAAATTGCTACTCATAAATTTTGCATGTCTCTTTCTTTCCTTTAGTTCATTACTGGAATCTGTTTTAAGATCTAAGGGTTATGGTGATTTGTCGAAGTCCAAATGTTGGAAAATATCAATGATGGATTGATGGTTTACAGAATGGCTTGTATGATCTTTTGTGAACATTGTGACTTGGGATCCATAAGGGTAATTTGCTTTGGAAAATGAAAGAGACTCTTCACCAAAGATACCTCCTTTTTAATCGAGGACTATTCTAGGACGAAGTCACATAGCAACAATTTAATTATTCTTCCTTCTTTTTATTCTTTTCTGCATATAATTTTGCACATTAATTTCATCTTCAACATAGGCTTGATCTATATCTTTGTTTTAATGCTGTACATGTCCTCTTTTTTCTTCGCCATTTTACCCTTTCCTTTTGGTGACAATCAATGTATATGATTTGGTGCAGCTTTTGCCTGATTGTGCCCCACATTCAGTGGTCTACATTCTTGAGTTGTTGGGTTTGCGTCACTGTGCGGGTTGTCAATTTTATCGTGCTGAAAGTCGAGGGAAAATTTGGGATTCGAAGGGCAACCACATAAAAGATGTAAGACTTTATTAAGTTTCTTAGTGACCCACTGTGCTGCATGTGGATAAGCTGTCATTAGAATGTGCATTATGAATCTGATCCTTAAATCATGTTTAGGTATCTTCTACTGTTCTAGGCATCCCTATAGCTTTCTCAAAGATCTAGAACCCTTTATTTGTGATCTAAGATATTGGTTTCCAATCCAAGTCACAATTTTTTTTCATTTATCTCCTTTTCATATACTTTCTGTTGATTTGTTGCAATTTCATCAAAGTTTCATTGGAGACCTTTTTTGAAGGCTACAAATAAATTATCTTAGCATCACTAATTGGTAGAACTGTTTGCAAATCCACATCATTCTATAGATCCAATAGGCACATGATGACAAGTGTGTTTGAACCAACTCCCAGGCACATACATTTTCTACTTAAAGTGCCAACATATAGCTTAAATATTAGACTAGATATAGTGCAGCAGAAAATATGGTAATCGAATTCGTGCTAGTAGCATTTATTTTACCATTCTAAGAGGTTCTTTATCTGATTGTGTATATGTGGGCTTTTTGGGATGTGATAGGATGAAGTTGAAGCAAAAACCATATGCATATGTAGAATTAAGGAAAAAGTCTTTCTCTAGCCACCTATAAACTGGGGCCTCATTTGGGATTGTTCTGGGTTAAAAACATTTCCCCTCCTTGTTTCTGTTTTAAGCATAATGGGTCAAATTTCTATCTTCATTCACAAACACCAAAGTTGACTTGCATAAATTAATAGATCGATGATTTGGTTTATACATTATTATTATTATTATTATTTAAGGAACATCAGGAACATAACATATTCTTTGGGTGAGGGTTGGGGATTTTACCCCCAACTCCGGTGAGCTGGGCATAAGGGCCTGACCACTGGGCCACCCGAGAGGCTCATTAATGATTTGTTTTGTCTATACTGTTGGTGTAAACAGCCGTTTTGGGCTTTTTTTCCCTTTTTTTTTGTCGATGATTTGGTTTATAGATCGATGTTTTGGTTTATACATTATTATTATTATTATTATTTAAGGAACATCAGGAACATAACATATTCTTTGGGTGAGGGTTGGGGATTTTACCCCCAACTCCGGTGAGCTGGGCATAAGGGCTTGACCACTGGGCCACCCGAGAGGCTCATTAATGATTTGTTTTGTCTATACAGTTGGTGTAAACAGCCGTTTTGGGCTTTTTTGCCCTTCTTTTTTGAATTATTCTTTTGCATTTTTTTTATTATTATTTTTTTTTTTTGGGTATAGATAACATCATTTCAATCTTCCTATTCCTTGTGTGAGTTTCCAATTTTTTGCTGCTTCAATGCTTTATGTTTCTAAATTGAAGTTTCTTTTTGTTACTTTTGTAGGCTTCATTTGGCCCTCCATTTGCGCTGATTCAAGGAACGCTTGAAGCCAAAGGTTCCCCATTCAAGCACATTCCCACCGAAGTCTGCCCAACCATCAAAAGAGGTTCGGTTGCCTGGGTTGGCTCTGGTCCAGAATTCTTCATAAGCCTAGCGAACCACAGAGAGTGGAAGAAATCATACACCGTCTTTGGTTCCGTTCTTCCAGAAGACATGGGAATTGCAGAGAAAATCGCTCAGCTTCCCACAAAACCAGACGTTTGGAGCAACATTAACGTGTCGGTCTTGGAAAAACCCGTTCCGTTGCTGATTCGAAGAATTAAGAAGAGTCTGGAGAGTTGAATGAATATCAATGACAATGTTGGAGCAGCTTTTACTCTGAATTTTATTATTATTATTATTATTATTATCATTATCTTTTTATGCTGCCTTTTTTGTATATGAGTTTACTGGTTGTGTACAACTAGCCTCCATTTTATTGTTGTTTCTTAGGGGTGTTCGCGGATCGGTTTTGTGCGGTTTGCGGTTCGGTTTTGACCCGCTCGCATCTATGCGGTTTGGGAAAAAGTCAACCCGCAATCGCCCGCAGTGCGGTTTGCGGTTTGTGCGGATAGGGTTTGCAAATGTGCGGGCGGTTGCGGGCGGTTTGCGGTTTACACTTTTTTCTTTAAAAATTAATTTTCGAGTTTTTTTTTTTCCAGCGAATTTAGGCATCAGATTCTTTTTATATATTTGTGATAACAATTTTTTGATGAGTTTACAAATAAAAATTGAATATCAATGCATTAAATGAAAGTACCCAAAACAAAGAGACCCTACACTAGCATTTTTGCTATGAAAAAAATGTATATCAACGCATTAAAGGTTGTACTCAATTAGAATTGCCAGTTCAGTAATCAATAATCAAACTATAAGTTCTATCGACCATTAGAAGAAAAATTTTATTAGGAAAAAATGGATGAATCACCAATGAAAATCATATAAGAAACCAAGTTTAGGACTTGATAATTCTACGGCATTAAGAAAGTTGAGAAATACTTAAAAATAAGGATCCTAGTGTCATAGAGAATATAATGGTGCTCCTGTAAAAGTTACAAAGTTGGTATATAAAAAAAAAAATAATAATAATTAAAGTGCGGGCGGTTTTTGCGGTTTGCGGGTTTAAACCGCAACCCGCCCGCAACCCGTAAATTTGTCATATTTCAAACCGCATCCGCCCGCATTATGTTTGTGAAACCGCCCACTTATATGCGGGTTGGACGGATTGAACGGTTTGAGCGGTTCGGATAAACCGTTGCCCACCCCTATCGTTTCTCATACACCTGTTTACTTAAATTTTGTAATTCATTTTCATAATGGTTATGTTTCTCTTTCCAACATACATGAACAAAAGAAAATGTAGAATGAATTTTTTTTCCCCTTGTGGCACGAATTTTAATGACTGATTGAGAATTTAAGCTAAGCTCATTATGAACAAAAAAAAAATTCAATGCCACTTGTAACATCGACATCATGACCGATGAATACACACCATTCATTTGTATGGCTCATTACATTTGATATTGAGGGGTGTTTTGGAAAAATGGTAAAATTTAATTTTTTGGTTTTTTAATTTTTTTTTAATTTTTTTTTTATATAAAAAAATAAAGAAGTGATATGACTTAAAAAAATTAAAAAATTAAAAAGCTAATCGTCTTAAATTGTCCCTGAATAGTCTCTCCATTGTGAGCGGGAATCATACATCTTATGAGGGAATCAGATGAAAATCTTTGTCTAGAAAATAGGTTGTGTTTGGTGGAGTTTTTGAATCGTAATTTTACATGTTGGTTTGAGCGTTGTATTTGGTTAGAGTTTTTAAAAATTGATTCCACACCCACTTTTGAAAACATGTCTATCCGGTCATCCTCCTGAATGTTCTCCGGACGTCCGGCTAGTTGACCGGAACAGATTTTTTATTTTTTTATTTTTTGGCACTTGTAATTTTTATATTTTAAATAAAAAATATTTTCGGAATTATTTTTAAATTTTTTATGAGTTTTGAATAGAATTTTGGATTGTGTATTTAGTTATGAGTTGTAAGATTTTAAATCAAATATCATATGCCACATCAAAAATTCAAAACTCTTTTCAAAACTCATAACTGAACAAATTTTTCACACTCAAATTATAATTCTAAAACTCACAAACTCAAAATATAACTCTATTTTTAAATCATAATACTAAAACTCTATTAAACAGTACCTATATTTTCTTTCCTTTTTAGATTTTAACTGAGAGAATGGATAGTCTCGTCACATCACATACGGATCTTTGACCATTTTAAGTCTTAGGGTTATTTGAGGTGTTCTAAATAAGTGTACTTTTTGACTTTTTATGAAATATGGGTTGAATATGGATTGGGTTTGAAGTGATGTGATAGAGAAGTGATGTGACTTAAATAAGATGATGTGACTTAAATAGAATTGTGACTTTTTGACTTTTTTTTATTATGCCAAACCAAGCCCTAATAAGATGTAAAGTTCTAACCAATTAAATTAACCACTCATTTTCGGTATATGTATTAAGTTATGGACCGGCTTTCATCTTATCTGTGATCGAATTAAAAGATATTATTAAACTTGCCAAGATTTATCACAGATCTCGTTTTGATAATATGAATTATACAATGTATAGAACTCATCGAGTACTATATGCCTGTAAAAAATCACGTTAATCGGATATCGATATCTACGTGATTAAATCAGTTTTGTATATAAAAAAAAGTTAGATGGTAAAAAAATAAACGGTTGACAGAAATCTGATCCGATGAGATAACTATCGATATCCGATTAATATGATTTTTTATAGACATATAGTACTCGACGAGTTCTATACATTGAACGGTTCAGATTACATATGCTTTGCAACTACTGTCACTATCTCTCTCTTCCTCTTCGGATAATGTTTGATAACTAAACGTTGACAATAGAGGATCAATACAAGAAAACTGATGAGACGTTAGTTGAAAAATGATGAATAAATCCTATTGTGGTCTGGGTACAATGTGTGGCATAAACTAACTACATTTTAACTTATCACAATAAATTATTTTAGAATGAAACCAATTGCAACGAGAGGATCCGTGGCGCAATGGTAGCGCGTCTGACTCCAGATCAGAAGGTTGCGTGTTCGATTCACGTCGGGTTCAATTCCCATGCCTCTCCCCTTTTTTATTTTATTTTATTTCTTTCTTTCTTCATTTATTTTTTGCTTCACAATTTTTTTTTTTTTTTGGTGATATTTGTTTGCAATTCTGAATTTATGCTAATATTAATTGACAAGATACTCAATTTCGTGCTAGTCAGAAACTATTCTCCCAACTTTTTCCAAAGAGGGAAAAAAAAAAAAAAAACTATTTTTCAAGTCTAAGATCAATTTTGCCATATCATATGCAACTTCGGGAGAATAAAAGACAAAACAAAAGGTGGGTGTTCTTTTGTGTGTTATTGTCTATAATAAGATTATTTTTTTTACAAAATAAGAGATAAATGAGAGACGAAAGGTGACATTTACGTGTGAATTCAACCATTTGTTATCTATGTCCCATTTTTACATATGGACATAGTTAACTCCTATTATGGGAAAAGGGGTCATTGCTGTGCTCAAAGCAAAGCAGTGACTGTGGTGCCTCCGTTTGAGGTGTATTATGATGTTATTTTTATGATCCAAACCGTTATTTTGTAGAGTTTGTTAAGTACTTCATGCCTACCAAAAATCATATTAATCGGATATCAACAACTATATGATCGATAATCAAAAAAATAAATAATAAGTTTTTCTTTTGAAAAATAGCATAAACAATATGCAATTCGATCATATAGTTATTGATATCCAATTAATATGATTTTTGATAGGTATGAAGTACTCAACAAACCCTACAATATGACGGTTTAGATCATAAAAATAAGACAATAATACACTTCAAACGAAACACTACAGTCACAGCAGGGACCTGCTCCCCTATTACGTAGTTGTGAAAGCCAATGAATCATTAGTTTCATTTAATTTAGGGAGTCCTCCCACATGTTGTTTTAGGAAAAGGATAAAATATTAGTAATGCTAATAAGTATTGAAAATAATGACGAGGTATCATCGTAGTTGTTATATTAAATTTTTACTCACTTTTTAAATATTTTATATATACACAAAGCTGCAAAAATAAAAATAGAAAAAATTAGGCCTAAACTCTGCATTGCGTAAAAAAGACGACCAAACTTTAAAGAGCCCTTTCTACCAAACTCTAAACCCAACTCAATTTTGGCCTTCTTTGAGAAATTAGTTATTTTAGGAGTGATTTTATCAGTTAAATAGTAATTCAGTACGCCTAACTAAAATTTTGAAATTTTAGTTCCTATTATACCCTGATATAAATTTTTTAATAAGGACAATATACACTAAAACCTAAAATAAAATATATTTTTTCCTCATGGTACATCCAAACCATTTATACATATTTTTCATATTCAACTTTTTTTCATCTTTTTCCCTAAATTTTAATTATTTTTTCTTCATCTTCTTTCTTACTCAAAAACTCTAATCTATCCCACCAATGGTTTAGAATGTTTCTATGTGCTACCCTACTTTATGAGGTCCTTTAGAATGATTTCTAACCTAACAGGCCATGGCTTTGATTTCAAGTTCTCTTTTGATTTATCACCCATTACTGTTTTCTTCTACAACTGTTTTGTTTCTTACCTTTACCAATAATGCATAAACATATAATTTTGATGACACTTATATGATTTTGATTATAGATAAATATAATTTCTTTTAATAGTAGATAAATACAATTTTTTTATTTTTTATTTTTTTTAATTATGTGGATCGAGGACAAATTTTATAAGAATAACATGTAGCACCAAATTTCTTAAACTTTCAAACCTATAAATAAACGCCTATCAAAAGATTTGAAATGTTTCAACTTTAGAAGATCAAGCATATCAAGAAGCAAATGATCCCAAGGGCCAAAAATAGATTTTCAATTGAACAACAAAACAAAATTTCAATTCAACAGAAAAATTACCAAAATTATAAACAAATGATTAAAAATTTAGTTTTGTGATTTTTGAAAATTTCAATTAGTTCCTCAATGCTGCTGTATATTTGTTCAACAAAAGGATAGTTGTAATGAAAAATCTGTTTAAGAGTTTTTGAAAAGGTTTTTGCAAAGTGGTGTAATTTAAGATTTTTAATTTGTTTATTATTTAGGTATACCAAAGGGTAATTTGAGAAAAAATATAGAGTGTATTGAAAGTAAATTATAATTGTAAATAGTTTAATAGAGTGTATAAAAAAATTGAGTATACTTATGCTGTATTTGGTTAGAGGATTTGAGAAATGATTTGAAAAGAAAAATAGAAAAGGAATGTGAAATGTAAATAAAATATACCTACATTTCATATAGTTTCATACATATTTTTCATTTTCTTTTCCAAATCCCTTTTCAAATCCCTCAACCAAACAAAACATTAATGATTTTTTGGATGCAAATAAAATTTCCTTATTTTAGTTAGTTATTTGATTTTTTTTTTTTTTACTATTTTAACCTGATTAAAATAGTTGTTTTTAAAAAGTTGATTTTTTTTTTGTAATTAATTTAATGATTGTGAGAAAAAAAAAATTATGAATTAAATATAATTATTTTATTTTATTAATTATTTTAATTTAAAAAAAAAAAAGCTGAAAAAACAAATTACCAAACAGGCCCTGTAGGGACTAAAGTGGAATTTTGTGTAAAGTACAGGGGTACATAGTGTAATTTACCCTCACATGTTCTCTCTCTCTCTCTCTCTCTCCCCCCTAATAAAAAATACAAAAAATATTTTAATCTTTTTCATTTTATTTTCATAATATATACAATTTTAAATATAAAATTTAATTTTATAAAATTAAAATATCATTGAAAATATACCTTTAAAATGAGACTAATATTAAATATATTTAATAAAAAATTAAAATAAATAAAAAGTAATTACTATGTTTAGTTATGTTTTGAAATTATTATTGGGTGAATTATACTAACGATTCCTATAGTTTAGGTTTTTACTTTGGTCATTGACTTTTCAATTGTGACACATTTGGTCCTGAATTTTGAATTTTGTTCCAAATAAGGACAATTAAAGATAACATTGCTTAATTTCAATGGTAAAATTGTCAATTTGATAAAATATAAATTAATTTTATAAAAATAAATGTCAAAAAAATATTTTTGAATTTTTAATAATTATTTCTACCTACTAAAAATAAAGGGCAAATTACATATACACCCCTCGAGGTTTGGTTAAATTACAGACTAATATTAAATATATTTAATAAAAAATTAAAATAAATAAAAAGTAATTACTATGTTTAGTTATGTTTTGAAATTATTATTGGGTGAATTATACTAACGATTCCTATAGTTTAGGTTTTTACTTTGGTCATTAACTTTTCAATTGTGACACATTTGGTCCTGAATTTTGAATTTTGTTCCAAAAAATGACAATTAAAGATAACATTGCTTAATTTCAATGGTAAAATTGTCAATTTGATAAAATATAAATTAATTTTATAAAAATAAATGTCAAAAATTTTTTTTTGAATTTTTAATAATTATTTCTACCTACTAAAAATAAAGGGCAAATTACATATACACCCCTCGAGGTTTGGTTAAATTACAGATACCCCCCTGAGGTTTCGGAAATTACATCCCGCCCCCTGAGGTTTGTATTTTCATAACAATTTACCCCCTGAGGTTTATATTTCATAACAAATTACCCCCTAATTTCTTATGCAAATATAGCATTCAGGGGGGAATTCGTAATTTCTCAAACCTCAGGGGGGTATTTGTAATTTAGCCAAACCTCGAGGGGTGTATATGTAATTTGCCCAAAAATGGATTATGTAAAATTGATAAATCTTTTAGACATTTATTTATTTATTTTATCAAATTAATTTTTATTATGTATTTAAATGATGATCATGTAAAAACTCCTCCTGGAGTTAAATTTATTCAGAATAATTTTTATTATGTATTTCAATGATGATCACGTAAAAACTCCACCTGAAATTAAATTTATTATGTGTTTGGATGATAATCATGTAAATATTCCTCCTGAAGTTAAAATTATTTCTATCTTGAATTTTTTAAATTTATATAGATTACACATTACATGATTATCATCCAAATACATAATAAAAATTAATTTAGTAAATATATAAATAAATAAATATTTAAAAGATTTATTAATTTTACATAATTTTATCTTTGGTGAGTAGAAATAATTTTTAAAAATTCAAAAAATATTTTTTGACAATTATTTTTGTCAAATTGGTTTATATTTTAACAAAATTGACGCTTTTATCTTTGAAATTAAGCAATGTTATCTTCAATTATCCTTATTTGGAACAAAATTTAACATTCAGGGTCAAATGTGTCACAATTGAAAAGTCAGAGACCAAAGTGATACGATTCCCAAACTATAAAGACTATTAGTGTAATTTATCCATTATTATTTTTTAAATATAAAAATTAATTTGATGAAATAAATACATAAAAATCATATATTTTTGAAATTCTCAAGAACAATCTTTATTCCAAAAAAAATCATATGAAAAAAAAAAAAACATGATCACATCAGCTCACACATTTTTTACACGTTTTTTTCAAAAAAAAGTAAAAAAAAAAAAACCAAAAAACTATCTTTTAACTATCTTTCCACAACTCATCTGTATTTGATTTGCACCTATGCACAGATTGGATTTGCACCAAGTCATGTTTTTTTTATTTTCATATGATTTTTTTTTAAAATGAAGATTGTTTTTGAGAATTTCAAAAATATGATTTTTGTGTGTTTATTTTATTAAATTAATTTTTATATTTAAAAAATAATAATTTCAAAACATAACTAGACATAGTAATCACTTTTTATTTATTTTAAATTTTTATTAAATATATTTAATATTAGTCTCATTTTAAAAGTATATTTTCAATGATATTTTAATTTTATAAAATTAAATTTTTATGTTAAAAATTATATATATTATGAAATTAAGATGAAGAAGATTAAAATAGATTTTTTAATTTTTTATTAGAAGAGGGAGAGAAGGAGAGAAAACACTGGTGGGACGTCTAAAACAGAGGTGTCAGGAGGATTTATTTTATTTTGTTTTTGAATTAATCTGAGCCCCAGATTTTTTGCGGAGTGACGTGGCCAAATCTGATCCGTCCCCCGGACGAAGGGCAGGAGAAAATGGCTGGAGAGGATCCGAACTCGTCACACTCACCACCAGCATCACCACCGCAACTAGTGTGGGGACAATCACCTACATTCAAGAGAGAGAGAAAAAAGTCCCTGCTAGAGAGAGAGAGAGAGAGAAAACAATATGGGTGGGTGGTGGGGGAGTGATATGGTGGTGGTAGTAGACTGGAGGAGTAGTTGTTATGTGGTCCACTGCACCATCCTGCGCACGCTAGCATTGTCGACCATCACCCACTCACGCCTTGCCCCATCCCTTTCACATTCTTCATTTCCTCCACCCCCCTCCTTCATTATAACCCCAATCACCGCTCACGCCGCCGCTACTTCGCTAATTTACGCTCCTTAAGCGTCCATCCTTATCCTCCACCCCCAACCCCATGTCGATGACGACGACGGAGAAGAAGCCTCCTCGGAAGTTTCCGCCGCCGTGTTGGACCCAAGAGGAAACCCTAGCTCTGATCGACGTCTACCGCGAGCGGTGGTACGCTCTCCGGCGGGGCTACCTCCGGACCGCCGACTGGGACGCGGTGGCGGCCGCCGTCGTCACCCGCTGCCCCGATGCCTCCCCTTCCAAGACCTCCGCCCAGTGCCGCCACAAAATGGAGAAGCTCCGCCAGAAGTACCGGACCGAGAAGCAGCGATCTCTCTCCTTCCCCGGCCGATTCTTCTCCTCCTGGTTCTTCTTCGATAACATGGATTCCATGTCCTTGCCCCTTGGATCTAATCAAAATGTGATCAATCGGATCGAGTCTGGTGTTGAATCAGTGAAGAAGATTGATGGAAATTCAAGCTCTAATCTTGGTCTAGGTGAGGACGGTGTCGGTGTCGATCGAAATTCGGTGATTTTAGGGCTTAGGGCGAAGAATTGTAGCAAGATTGATGCGAATTCTAACCCTAATTGCGGTTCTACGGTTTTGAATGGGCATTCATCGTATTTGGATGAAGGATCTGATGAAGATGTTGGAGAGGATACTGATTTTCAAGGCCCAATTAGAAGCAAGAAATTCGAGAAGATTCATGGGAATTTTGCACCTAATTTTGATTCAGATGGTGGGTTTTATATAAAAACCCCAATGGATCAAGATTTGGTACCTCCTGGGTTTAGGGCAAAGAAATTCAATGACAGATATTCAATTCCTACTGGAATTAGATCAAAGAGTTCAGGCAAGACTGATGGGAATTCTTGCCCTAATCTCGATTCTAGGTTTGTGAATGGTAATGGGTTTTCTTCTACTTTTGGATTAGGGTTAGGGTTAGGGAAAAAGACTGGTGGTGATGGTAGAGGAGTTAAGAGAGAAAGGGGTGAAATTGCAGAGATGGCTTCTGCCATTAAGGTGTTGGGAGAAGGGTTTGTGAAGATGGAGAAGATGAAGATGGAGATGGCTGGGGAGATTGAGAAGATGAGAATGGAGATGGAGATGAAGCGAAACGAGTTGATACTCGAATCGCAGCGACAGATTGTGGATGCATTTGTGACTGTTTTACAGGAAAATAAGAAGAAAAAGGCGAACACAACGCCTTCGCCGGAGTCCTAGTTTTTTCTCTGTTTCTTCATATGGAGATGAACTAGTGAGATTTGATCTTTGTATGTTAGTGAATAATTATTTTTGTTTCTTGCTCTCTCTGATCTGAACTTCAGGTTAGGATGTATAATTTTGATTTAATTAATAGAATTTCTCTCTGTTCTGAAATTCTTGATGAACTATTGTTTTCAATGTTTAGCTTGAAATATCAAATCTAAGGCATTGTAGAGAATGGGGTTTTTTGGGGATTACCTTATCAGGTGCCTACATAAAAGTTTCCGCCTTTTCAAAGATTAATTGTTGTGTTGATGAGAGACAATTTCAAAACTTGCAAGGAAATTGTTGAAATGGAAACTAGAAATGTTTGATTAATTTTATTAGATTTAATATGGAAAATGATAATATTTGTTGGAATGGATCACGAGTTGAACAATCTGAAGCAGTATATTTGTATTCCTAGTTCTGTGTGTGTGTGTGCGCGAGCGCAAGAACAAAGCTGATGTTAGTGCAGTCTATACCACATTTAGCAGAATAATGAGCATCTCTGCAAGAACAAGGTTGATGCTGCCATGGATGACATGGGTGCTATTCAATTTGAAGGGTCTTTTAGGAGTCTCAATTCAAACATGTTATGGTGTACCCTTCAATAAAAATAACAATGAAATATGTAATTAATCCTATTATATTCAGGCCAAATTATGCAAATTTGACACTGGATATCTATTTATTTCAGGAGAGCGTACTATCCATATCACAAAATATCATAACAAAAATTAAAAGGTATTGTAATTTCATCATTCAAACTTTATAATGCACACTATTAATTCAATATTTGTGTCTTTATCACAAAGTGGCATAACATGCCAGAAACCTTCATAATTTTCATTAGAAAAAATCTAACTTTTTTACAATGCGCACTAACCTTAACCTGCTAATTTCTTATTCAATGCATCTTTTATTGATGTGTCATGTCGAAAATTCTCACCTTACTCTCATTCTTTTCATACCACCTACCAAGAGCATCTCCAGTAGTATAGTCATTTTCTCTTTTCAGTCATAGTATAGTCATTTTCTCTTTTCAGTCATAGAAGCGAGCTTGGAAGGGTGAAAGACTGCTCTAGTAGACTCACTCAAGTATCACTAAAATGGTTGTGAGCTACGGTACCTTGCCAGGACAAGTGAGGTACTGTTCATGGGTCTTTCAATTTTTTTTATTTAGTTTTGCCTCCTGAGTTCTATTTTTGGCGATAAAGTTTTTCCCTCATTTTGGTGCTAAAAGTTCTATCAGTACCTCCACAAACAAATACATAGAGAAGGCATTCTAAAACTCACAAACTCTCTCATCATCTCTATCTTTTTGTCAAACTTTCTGCTCAAGGGAGGTAATAAGTTTTGTCATTTCTGTTTGTTTATGCCATGAATAGTGGATAAGAAATTAGAGAATATGAAAGCAAATGTTCAGATTGTTGCATTCTTGTTTCATTATTTGTTGATTTTGGCAAAAATATTACACATTGTTTTGTCATTTGTGATTATAGAAGGAAATCCACATGAATGTATATTTACTCCTTCGCTTTGTGGCTTCCCTTATTTTTAATCTCATTTCACAAATGGTTGCAGCAAGTTATGGCTCCATGTTCTTAATCAATAGGTCATGATTTTACTACTTGTAAAAAAGGAAATACTATGTATTTGTATTGCACACCATATGTTTGTTGTAATTTCTGTTAGAATAGAGATTGTAAATTGTATGCAATTATTTTATCTCATCAGATGAGTTTCATATAGACAGAACACTTTAAATTTTTGCTCCGTTGAATGAATTCCATTGACCTTTTCAAATTATGCTCCAAAAGTAGTAGTAGCAGCAAGATGCCGAGTAGCAGCAGTAGCAATGAGAAGCTGTTGTAGGATTTCCATTACTATTCAAATTGTTGCAACTTGCTATAAGCTCTGTTTTTAAAATTTTAATTCTTACATATTATTGAATCATAGGTATGGATTCACAACAAGATGTTTACTTTACCAATCTTTTACAAGAAAGGCCCAACATTGATGAACATTATCTAATGGAATTTCAATATTTGAATCAAAATACTCAAGTCTTTGCCCAGGAGTCTCAATTTACTGTTGAAATTGAATCTTTGTCAAAGAAACCTCAACGTGGAGGAAACTTCACAATAGAAAAAGATAAACTCCTTGTATCAACTTGACTTAATATTAGTTTAGATGCGGTACACGGAATGAGCAAAAACGCTCTACCTATTGGAAAAGAGTGTGGGATTTTTTTCCATGAGCACAAGAAATTTGAGTCTAATCGAAATGAGAATTCTCTTATGAATCGATGGTCAACCATTCAGCTTGCCATGAATAAATTTTGTGGGTGCTATGCCCAAATTGAATCATTGCATCAAAGTGGCATAAATGAGGATGACAAGGTATTGAATATTATACATTCACAATTATTATTATTTATGAAGTTGCTAATATTATTTATTTATTTAATTCTCAGAGTTGCAAGGTGAAAATTATGTACAAGGAACTCATGAAATCTACATTCTAATTCGAACACTGTTGGATTATGTTAAGGGATCAACCAAAATGGATGGTAGAGTCTGAGAAGAAAAAGCAACCAAAAAGATCAAGAATAGGGACAACCCTTTTTCCTTGTACTCCAGATTCGATAAATCTAGGGGAAGACGATGTCTCACCTAATGCTTTTGTAGACTTAGAGAGACCAATTGGTAGGAAGGTTGAAAAGGAGCGATTGAATGAACAAAAGAACAAAGAAAGCATACATTCGAGTATTATAAAGACTTTGAAGGACATCAAAGAAGAGAAAAAGAAAATGATTGACAAAAAAATTGAAATGATTGACAAAGTATACGTTCAAGAACAAGTGAAACTTCGTATCATGCAAGAAAAGCATGAGGTGGAACTTGAAAAGCATGAAATGGAACTTTCAAAAAGGACGAAAGAGTTATTTTGATGGATCTCAGTAGCTTACCGAAAATCCAACAAGAATTTTATTATGCTCGGCAGATGGAAATCATTAAGAAAATAAGAATGAATTAGTATTCATTCTCTCTTTGCTCCTTATGATATTTTGGCTTTTGTCTAGTAGGCTAGAAACTTGATATATGGTATTGCTTTTGGTTTTGCTAGTTATAACATAAATATATAGACCGTATAATTATATATATATATATAAAGGCATATAATTAAAATGAAAGCCATATAATTATAAAAGACATATAGAATTATAAAATTACACATAAATCAAAAGCATATCATGATTACACTCAAAACTAATAACATACTATATGAAATGAAACTTCAAATTCAAAGCGTTTACGACTCGCTGTGTAATTGCCACAAGTGTTTGACAAGGTCCGATTGGAGATGAGAATGTCTTTGCCTGTCTCTAATGTTATGATAACATTGAATCAATTCCATAAGTTCAGTAGTTCTCTCGTGTAACACCATTACATGGGGATTGTCATCGATTTGATCATAATTGAAGCCTTTTACTCCATTGCCATCTCGCTCATCTTCAATGATCATATTATGTAAAATTATGCACGCCTTCATAATATATTTAAACATTTTAGTATTCTCAAAACGTGCCGGTTGACGCACAATTGGAAATCATGCTTGAAGCACTCCAAATGCACACTTTATATCCTTTCTTGTCGCCTTTTGAGCTGCAGTAAAAGTTTTTCTTATTTCCTTGACGAGAAGGAATTGTTTTCACAAATGTTGCCATTATGGATATATACCATCGGCGAGATAGTATCCCATTTTATATTCATTACCATTGATGGTATAATTGACTGGAGGAGCACGCCCTTGAGCAAGTTTGGTAAATACAATAGACCTTTCTAGCACGTTGATATCATTATGAGACCCAGGTAATCAAAAAAATACATGCCAAATCCAAAGATCATATGACGCAACAGCTTCTAAAATAATTGTTGATTCATAAATGTGACCAGTATACATACCTTTCAATGCAGTTGGACAATTTTTTCATTTTCAATGCATACAATCATTGCCCCCAGCATTCTAGAAAATCCACGACTTTCACCAACTGCTAGCAATTTAGCAATGTTATTGTTGTTTGGTGACCTCAAATATTCATTAGAAAAAATATCAACAACTGCTTTAACAAAATATTTTAAGCTTTCTATTGCAGTGCTTTCTCCAATTCTCATATATTCGTCTATAAAATCAGCGGCTACTCCATAAGCAAGCATCCTAAGTGCAACAGTTATCTTTTGAAGAAAAGACAAACCAAGCTTTCTAGCACAATTTCTTTTTTGGAGAAAGTATGGATCGTGCACTTCTACTGCAGCTTGAATTCGAAGAAAAAGTAAACACTGTTGGAAAAATTGGTTTATATAGGTATATTTTGGGCCAACTTTGAGCCCAAAATTGAGTGGACCCCAAAACATCTTTTGGAGTGGGTTCGAAGAGGTGAAGTGTTTCTTGTCGCATGACAAGTCACACGGTGAAGACGGAACGTCAAAACCATTTATGAGTGAATGGGAAGTTGACGTCGTTTTCGGGTCTAACATTAATTTTTTAGATAAAATTCATTTAAATTTTTTCAATAAAAAAAAATTATTGTGAGAATTTAATTTAATTCTAAATTCAAATTTTGGGTTCCTAAGTGGTTTCCTAAAGTTTGTAATTGTGGGAATTTAACTTAATTCTAAATTCAAATTTTGGATTCCTAAGTGGTTTCTTAAAATTTGTACCTTTTCCTTTATTTATTATACTATTCAAATAGTTTAATATATATATATATATATATATTCCTAATAGTTATTAATAATAAAGTTCCAAGCAGTTCTTTGTTTGACCAACGGACAACTTTTCAAATTTGTTTGAAATTTTGTTCTTTCCTACGGTCAAATCTTATATTCAAATTGTGAATAGCTTTGCACCTGTTCACTTCGGAATTGCATCTGTTCGGGTCAGAGCTTGTTGCCTATATATACCAACATACTAGCAATGTGCTAGGATCCGAAAAAATTGAGTCTGCATCCTATATACTGCTGTCCAGATTTTTTCTCTTTTGCATTCTATTCCTCATTCTAGTTTTTTTAGAGATATTTTAAAGAGAGTATTAGAATACAAGGTTTGGTTCGCCATACAAATTTGTTTTGTGTGCTACAACAATTTTGTGAAGATCATTGTATCCTGGGAGATAGACGCCACTCAACCGTAAGCACCGTAGCGGGGCGAATCTGTCTTAAGGACAGAGTGTCACACACTCGATTTGGTCT